ACTACTCTCATAAGCCCAAAGGGCATAGTTGTTACCCAGTAGAAAGGAAAATTGCCACCCACAGAACTTTCCAGGAAACCCCTGCCCCATTAAAACATGAGGCAAAAAAATAAAATAAAATAAAATAAAATAAAACATGGGGGCTTCCACTACTGCTATGGAGAGCAGGGTCATAGGGCAGACCTGAGGGGTCTCCTCAGCAGCTGTCCCCAGCCCACAGTAAACGGTGGGGATGATGCTTTCGAGGCTTCTTGAAGGAACTTCAGGACTTCACCTTACAACGTGATGATCTCTGGTGAGTGTCAGCACCTCTTTCCTTGTCACTGTTTCTCCTCCTGTGACAAGGCAAGGGTTACCACCATCCTAAGGCTCAGAAACTCAGATTGCTTTAAATGGTTCATTACTCAGGCTTCAGAGGGTGCCCCTCGCCCTCTGAGGCTCTGCCCAGAACAAAGGTACCCCTCTGTCCCCAAGTCTCGCGCCATTGTGTCTCCACAGGGATATGTCTTCAGCCTCCTGGTTTGTGTCACTGTGCACGTGGCACCCAGGCTCGGTGGGATACGAAGTAGGGTGTCTGCCACCATGCGTCTCCTGCTCCTGCAGGCTCACTCCCACTCCCGTCCAATCTTTGTTTCCTCCTGTCCAGGGTTAACATTCCCTGGCAGAGCTGTGTGCAGCTGAGTCCAGAGCCCTGCGCGTATCACAGATGGAGGTCTAGTTTCCCCGGGGGGTGGGGGTGGTGGTGCGGGGGGCCAAAGCTGTGTGTGTGCTCTGCTGAAGGACAGTGAGCACGCCTCAGGGGAATGTTCTTTCCAAGACAAAGACAGACAACGAGGGAGGCAGGTATGCTTGTGGGGCTTGGGTACCCTTCCCGGCGTGACCAGAACGGGCCGGCTACCTCCTTCACAAGTGGGGAACCCGACAAGTACATCATATACTCGGGGGCACCTCAGTTTTCAATGCCCTTTGACCATTTGATATAGCAACCCCTTTTCATGGGTCGTTATCATTATTCCACTTAATAGGAAGAAACCGAGGCTGAGGAGGTCAGCTCTGGTCACATCAGCAGAGATAGGATCCGAAGCCAGGTCTCTGGACTCCCACAGCTGTGCCACAACCAGCTGTCTTGCTGGCCATTTTTCTCTCCACGGGGCCCTTTGTTCGCAGCGCTCCCCTTTGTCAGACTTGGATCGTAACCTTGCCAGGGCCGGGGCTCTGTGTCCTGGGCGGGCATGGTTCGGTCCCTCTCCTGGAGAGTGCCCAGGGGACGTGACCGCTGCTTGGTGCACACTCAGACGCGGACCGCACAAAGTGAACACCGCAGAGGTGGTGCCGGCTCGCAGGGATCTGGGCCCGCCTGGACCACTGCGCTGTTGGTCTCCTCCAGCCTGCCCCCGCCTGCCCAGTGACCTCCCATGGCATGACAAACAGTGGCCACTGGGTGGCAGTGTGTTCTCGTGCCTGGGACCACACAGGTTGCCCAGAGCCAGGGAACGTGGGGGTGGGGAGGAGGCAAGCAGGAACCTCAGCCAGCTGCCCAGAAAGGTCGCAAGACCTGATCCCCTGGAGGACGTGACATGACAGGGCTCCTCTGTGTGTGTGTGTGTGTGTGTCTGTGTGTGTGTGTGTCTGCGCGCGCGCACTGCAGCAAAAGGGCCAAGGACAATGTGAAATGGAGCCAAGTGTGGGGTGGGGTGGGCCAGGGGAACAAAAATACAAAGGAAACCAGGGCAGCCAGCATAACATGAGCAAAGGACGCAGAAGAGAGCTGTAGAGGTAAGGGGTGAGGGCTTTTGGAGCTTCAGAAAAACGACTACCTGGGAGAGAGAGAGCGAGAGACAGCAAGAGAAAGACCAAGGCAGAAAGAATCACGGAGAGGCCAGGAACAGAAAAGAGGAAGATAAGAGAGATTGGCTGGGGAAAGTAGGTTGGAAGGCTGAGGTGGGAGAAGGGAGCCCCCAGAGGCTGGGCAGACACAGGAACCTTTCCTGGACAGAAGGAGCCAGACTCAGGCTTGCTGCTGACAGGGAGTTTATTTGGGCTGAGTTGTGGAGATCTGCGGGCTGCCTGAGCTCCAGGTCAGAGCTTCTCCGGCTCCGGCTCCGGCTCCGGCTCCGGCTCCAGCTCCGGCTCAGGCTCCGCTATCTTGCTCTGAGCCTGAGGTGGGTGAGTCCCATGCTCCAAGGCAGAGAATCTTCTTGGATGCCACTGTGGGAAGACATGGAGGGTGGGTGCGGAGAAGGATGAAGGGAAAGACAATAAGGAGGATACTGAATGAGTCTATTCTTTTCCAGGCCCCTGCCCTCCCCTTCTGGTCCCAGGCCTTTTCTCAGCCCCTTCAAGCCTCCCTTGGGTCCTTCAAGCACAAGGAGTCCCTGGAGAGGCTTATGAAGAGGGGGGCTCTCAAGGCAGGATGAGGAGTCTGCCTTGGTCATCTTCCCTGAGGAAGGGGTGCCAGACAGCACTCAGAAAACTGAAAAGAGGGGCGCCTGGGTGGTTCAGTTGTTAAGCGTCTGCCTTCAGCTCAGGTCATGATCCCAGGGTCCTGGGATCGAGACCCGCATCGGGCTCCCTGCTCAGCAGGAAGCCTGCTTTTCCCTCTCCCACTCCCCCTGCTTGTGTTTCCTCTCTCTCTGTGTCTCTCTCTGTCAAATAAATAAAATCTTAAAAAAAAAGAAAAGAAAACTGAAAAGAGGGGAAGCCAGTGGCCGGTGGGGGCTGAGGGGTGTCCCCGGCTCACCTGTCTTCTCCAAAGGTGAAAACCAAAGGCTCCAGTCATCAAAAGGAGCAGAAAGAGGATACCAAGGATGGAAAAGAGAGGGAGATGGCCTGTTTTCAGGGCACCTGGGGCCCTCCCAGAGCTCTGGGCACCTACAGAAGAAGTATAGCATTAGGTACTGGGTCATAGCTGGAAGGGTATCTTGCCACACCCTCGTACATTCCGCAGACAATGAGGCCCAGAGTTGAGGGACTTATCCAGGATCATTAGCTAATGAATGACAGAAGTGGGTTGGGGCCTGGACAAGAGTCGGAGGTTAGAAAGAAAAGATCTGGAATGCGGGTGGGGAGGGGTCTGGAAAGTGGGGTCAAGACGACTGGTCCCGAACGTGTGGGGTCTCAGACCTGGGCCAGCCGGCTCAGTGAGGTACACCGCTGTCCCGAGAAGCCTCTCTCCCTGGTACACATGGCACTGCCAGGGCTGAGAAAGGAGTCTGGCCTCCTGCATCTCCAGCCAGGGTCCCGGGGAACCTCTCCAAGACTGCTTATCCAGGGGGCTCCACACAAAATGCTCTCGTCCCGACGCCGGGGTCACCTCACAAAGCAGTTTTCTCAGCTTGCCAGGTAACCCAGAGGATTTGGGAGTCACTGAGAAAATCAGAGGGAAGAGATCTTTGGGGGCCCGACCCCCTTACTTGAAACCATAGATTCAACTCCCCCCGTCTCAATCGCCTGGCACTCAGGCTCTCACCTGGGCTCTGATTGGGTGAGGTTGAGGGGAGGAGCTCGGGGTCAGGGCCAAATCAATCTTATCAAGACAAAGCTCCCGGCAGATCCCTCTGCAGCTTAACAGCCTCCAAGCTCTCTACTGCCCTCCGGGACTGTTCAAACTCAAACTGGCCCGGAAGGATCACGTAACAAATACCATCTTGGATTCTTTTACACGACTTCCCACTCAAATGCTCAGAAACCCCAAGATCAGTCAGGTGTGTTGCCCCCCTCCCAATATACCTTGCACTTTTTTTGTTTCCATGACTTGGCTCACATCAGTGCCCCCTGCCTTGAGGTGGCCCCTAAATGAACTCTGCCCCCTTTTCTCAATGTTCAGAGAATAGTGAACTGACCCATCCGTCTACAGACAGAGCATCTCAAAGCTGTACGGTGAGAGAGAGGGCCGGTAGGAGGACACCAGTGGTGAAGGGTCTTGAGCTGAGCAGAGTGGTGGAGCCACCTGAGGATTTGGCAACACAGACACCGGACCTTAGACCCCGAGGCTGGCACTTCCCAGGCCTGTGATTTGAGAAATTCCTTCTCTACAGGGGCAACAATCTCTCCCAGTGAGCTGTCGTGCAGAGAGCCTGGACAACTAACCGGAAACAGCGGACCCTCAAGAAGACCTAGGACGGACAAAGTTGGGAGGCTTTGTGGGCTGACTAGATGTGGAGGAAACAGGAGGCCAAGTTTCAGGGGAGTGGGATACAGGTGGAGTTACGGACAGAAAGGCTAAGTCAGCAAGAGGACACGTGGTGTGAGGAAAGGATGGGGTTCGGAGTGAGGCTGGGGTATGGGTATGACATCGACGGAGAGCTATCAGCATTGGCCCTTGGGAGATGTATGACCTGTCAGTGTACTCACTGATTCACTCAACCAATGTACATTATTAAGCACCTACTACGAGGTGCTACTGTTTAGTGACCCCAGGTGAATACTACAGACACAGCTGAGCTGTTGTGGCTCCTAGTTACCAATCCATCAACACATGCTTTCTGAGTTTTGGCTTTTTGTTGTTGTTGTTGTTTTTCTGTGTTTGTTTTATACTCTCTTAAAAAAAAAAAAAAAAAAAAACAGTCCTTGCTCAGTAAATATTTGCTGACCAAGGGACTGATTTATTAACTCCTCCCAAATCCAAGCCACTTCCTGCAACTTTAAGCCAAGCACTGGTCCCCAAGTAGATGAGGATTCTAGAAATAGAGTCCACCTCTTTTGAACCATTCAAACTTTTGCCACCTCTCCTTCTAACTTCTCAGACCCTCCTCCCAATTCAGAGCAGGGGAGTCCCTTAGAGGAGAGTGGAATGTTCACCTAGTGACTCAGGGGAGATTTTCAGTTTCGGTTCTTTATGTGGGGGCGAGAAAAGAGGAGGCCACCAGGGCAGCCTCTGCAACTTGCACACGGTGGCCTTGTATCATGAGGCGGATCTGCCCAGTCTTGGCCCGCCGGCCTGCCCTCCCTGTCCCAGCTCCCCTGCGATGGGAGCTCATCCTTTCCCACCTGGGGCTGACCTGTGATGACTGCCAGAGTGACCGTTGCGCTGAGCTGCTCTCCCTGCAGATGGATGTGGCAAGTGTAGGCCCCAGCCTGGGCCTGGCTCACAGCCTCCAGTTGGAGGGTAAAGTTGCCATGGTCTCCAGCCACCAGAAGGTCAGGGCCTCCCCCGGGAGGGGTCCACTTGGCAGTGAGAGAAGACTGGGTCCCCACACCGGGGGGCAGGCGGCAAGGTAGGTCCACCCTGGAACCTGCTCCAGCATACACCATCAGAGGCACTGAGGGCTCCAGACCTGGGAAAGAAGGAGAAGCCAAAGTTGAAGTGGAGAGGGGGAGGTACAGAGAGGCTGGAGCACTGGGGCGGCAGGGACGGGAGGCAGAAGAGCAAAGGAGGTGGTCCAGCTCCGAAGAGTGCAAGGGAGCAGAGTAATGTGGATGAACTGAGGATGTTCAGAGCCCCTCATGTGGGCCGGGCCACCAGGAGGCCAAAGGTGGCCCAGTGAGGCTGGATGGCCCAGGGAAAAGCCAGAAGTGGGGAAGGCAGCTGAAAGGTTGCAATGCGAGGTAAAAGGGAGTGGGGCCGTGAGGCCCAGAGCATTCACAGTGGGCGCTAGCTGCCGAAGACCTGGTCTGGGGACCCATAAGTCAGGGGGAGGTGATGGGGGGCAGAGAGGGGTTGTGGTCAAGGGTGAAGGCAGACTGGAGGAGTTACCCAGAACGGTGAGGTTGTACGTGAGGGAGACATTGAAGCCATCTCTGTAGGTGAGAATGCAACCCCAGGGCCCAGAGTCTGAGGGGCTGACTTGGGGCAGGAAGAGGAAGCTTCCAGCTATGTGGTGATGGGGGGACTCGTGAACAGGGACTCTGCCCCGGAACCAGTGCACAGAGGCTGGCAGGTCAGGGCGGCTGAAGGAGCAGTTCAAAATGACCCAGTCGGAGATCCTGAGGGACCCTGGGGGGCTGGCAGTCACTGCTCACGGATAAAGAAGATTTGATTAGCCCCACCGCCAACACTTGTCTTCTCCTCCCCAACCGTCCTCCGACCACCGCCCGCAAACCCCCCTTCCCCAACCCCCACCAGTCCAGTGCCTGGTACCTGGAGGTGCTTAAAATGGATGTTTTGGGATCTCCTGCCTCCCTCCCCTGCACACGCCCCCCGCCCCCCCCAGGCCTCCAGTATCCTTGGTTGACATGGTCGACCCTTCCCTTTCTCCACGCCTTGCCTGAGGATCCCCACTCAGCCCACCCCCTGAGCTACAGATGTCTGAAATGAGTCACTCTAGCCTTGCACTCTCCCCCCAACCCAGGGGTGCCTCCCCTCCTCCATCCTGGCACTCCCAGGTGCGTGGGGGAGGGGAGCTCCAGGGGTGAGACAGTCTCTCCAGAGGGTCCTCTCCCCACACACGTGCTTCTCTGGGGGCGCCCCTTCCACTCTGCTCCCCACCCCCTCCCGCTCCCCTCCGGGGGCTCTCGGGCGGGGCCCAGGGCGCCTCCCGGGAAGCACAGCCCCTGCCCCGGCCCTTCCTGCCTCCCGGGGCGACAGGGACCGCGGCGCCCCGGCTCCAGCCCCGCTCCCAGCGGCCCGCCCCCACCTACTGGAGGCCTGGCCCACGCGCAGACGGAGGCGGCAGGTGAGGGAGCGGTCCCGGAGGTGCACGGCCGCGCGGTACTCGCCGGCGTCGGCGCGTCGGGCCGGGCGCAGCCACAGCGAGAAGTCCCCGCGCTGGAGGCCGCGCTCGTCCAGCTGCACGCGGGGCTGCAGGGGGGGCCTCCCGCTGCGCAGGCCGCCGGCCGCCAGCATCAGCACCACGTAGCGCCGCGGACCCGGGCCCCGGGCGGAGGGCGCGGCGGGGCGCAGGCTGGGCGCGGGCGCCGGAGGACCGCTGGGCAGGAGAGAGGGACGGCACTGAGAAATGCGAGGGGTAACAAGCCCGGGGCAAGAGGCGGTCCAACCCCCCTTCGAGGATGAGGAAAGGCACCCAAAAGGAAGATCTCTGGCCCGCTAACCGTCCTCATCCCCGTCTCCCCTCGGGTCGGGCCAGCGCCACCCACTCTCTGGAGAGGCAGGTGTAGAAGGGATGCAGGTGTGAGGGGAGCAGGCTTCGGAGGAAAGACAGGAAAGGCAGCGGGGGGAGCTGAGCCTCTGGCTTCAGAGGAACTGACAGCTCAGGGGAGGAGACAGAGGGCTAGCTTGGGCCTGGGGTTATGAGTCTGGATGCCACTGCTGTTGGATGTGGGGGTCCTGTTGCCCAAGTTAGGGGTGCATACCTGTCTGGTAGGTGGTGCCAAGTGACCCCTGCGGTTCGCAGAAGGCTGACATCCTGGAGAGGGGCTGTGGGGCTGCAGGGGAGCTGGACCGGAGCCCCCTCCTGGGCCCACACCACCCGGACCTCTGTCCCAGACCCTGGAGCCTCCACTGGGGAGGAAAAAAGAGGCCAAGGGGAGGGGCCGTGAGCTAAAAGACTTAGGAGTAGAGAAGGAGCCTCAGTTACCTGAAGGAGAAACGGGGCTGAGGAAGACCTTGGGTTTCTGTCCCTTCCCCACCCAACGGGAAGACTGACAAGAGGCTTTGGGGGCAGAAAGACTGCCCCAAGCAAGGCATTAGAAGAATCCACCCAAGCTAAGGAACTTGGCATCTGTGAGGTCCAGACATCCCTGCTGACCACCCCCTCCCCCACCCATGGGTCTGGAGGGCAGCCCTCCCAGAGGGTCAGCCCCGTCTTACCTGGAGCCACCCACGGCAGTTGCAGAAGCAGAAGAACCAGGAACTGAGCCTCCCACATCTCCCTTAGGCCTGGGCCACGCTGAGCCCCCCAAAGGGAAGAGGTCAGAAAGAAAGGAGGGGCAGATGGACAAAAGAGTGTGTTGCAAAGATATGGGGTGGAGGAAGGGAATCTAGAAGAGGGACAAGGACAGAGACCTGGAGATAGAGGGAAGAACCAATGACTAGAGGGCTGGAATCCAGAGGCAAGCCGGCCAGATCAGGCAGCAGGAGTTTGGGAGGGGGAGTCGGGGGGTTCCAGCAAATGGGCAGGGCAGTGGCAGAGAGTAGAGTGGAGGCAAGGTGGCTGTCTTGAGCTGGGAGGCAGTTCTGCTGCTCCCAGGGCCCACAACCCTGTCCTTCTGCCTTCCCTCCACCTTCCCCACTTCCCCTCCCCGTTGCCCCCCCCAACACACCCCAAGGCTCACGGTTTCGCTTCGCAGTGGAAAGTCTGAGGGGGTTGATTCCCAGCAGCATTACCCTCCACCTCTGTGGTGGCGCTCCCCTTGTTTATTTCCTCGGTCCTGGGTGTCCCCGCCGAACCCTCCCCCACCCTTCTGACTATTCCTCTTCCCGCGGACCTTCTGCATTCTCTCCAAGCCATTTCTGCCTGGAACTACCTGCTTGCCCACCTCTAAGCTGCTGCTCCAGTCTCAACATTTTCTTGGCAAGCCCTTCCCTTGGTACTCATCTCCTCCCTCATTCCCTTAACCTCCCAGGACTTTCATTTAGCATGAGCCTGCCTCCCCACCCATCCCATGGCTCCTGGGAATAAAGCAGACCTAAAAAATGGTAGGTCTGGGGAGGGGCACCCCAAGTCCTCAGAAAAAGAAAAGCTACATTATATTGAGCCTTCACTATATACTAGTGAAGATACGGGGTGGAGGGACTGTATTGGATACTTTACAGATAGTAACTCATGAAATCTGATATCCCCCATTATACAGATGAAGAAACTGAGGCAACTCAAAGATTAATTGACCAAGGTCAGTTATGGAGTATGAAGCCAAAAGGTGTGTCTGTAGTCCAGACTCTGGGTGAGTTATGGATGTCCTCTCGAAGAATGGTGGGGTCAATGAGTCACACACACACACACACCCATCCAGTTCAAGATCACTGTGTACTCAGCAGGTTCTCCCAATCCAGAGGTTTTGAACTAACAGAGCAAGGGATATGGAGAAATGCAGAAATCCTGCAACAGAGATCAAACTCAAGAAAAACTGAGACAGAACTAGGGAAGGAAGTCTGAGAGAAGGGAACTCTTGCTCCCCACCCCACCCAGCCAGAGGAGCCCAGCCCAGAGAGGTGGAGCATGGGTGCCAAGAACTTGCACCACACCTGGGACCCACAAGAGGCCCCAGACTTCTCCCCTGCCTGACCAAGTGCTCACTTCCTCACTACCAGGTGGACACGTTTGATGCCAGACAACTCTCTCTCCAGGTCCCAGGAGGCTGAGACCCAGGCCTCCCAGCCCTCTCCCACTTCAAGGGCGGGACTTCCTGTTTCTGAGGCTACTTCTTTGCCTGGTTCAGCACAACAAGAGCTGGTAGCTTTCCACTGGGCTCAGCAGTGTCTAGACCTGGTGTGGGCTAGCAGGGAAGTGTGTGTGTGTTCTGCTGGGGGTGAGCATCCCCAAGAATCCAAAACCAGGAAAGAAGTTAGTTCTCAAAGAAGCTGCGAGCTCCATGTCCACCCCTGGGGTGCTGATCTTGTCTTCTTGAGTGGTAGGTGGTAGAAGGGTACAGCTGCTTTTTCATAGAAGGCAAGGGTCCTGATGGAATGTGACATCTGCCACCCCCCTCCCCCTGCCCCGGGAAAGCAGGAGACAGGTTAAAAACAGAAGCGCGACCGTTTCTTTATTAAATTATACAAAAAGGGGAGGAGAAGGGAGGGGGGCAGCTGTGGGGCTCGGCCCCAACCCTGGCCCCACCCCGGCCTGGCGCTGTCTGAGAGAAGGGGATCTGAGGGAGACCCAGGGATCAGGCAGGGTAGGGATGGACAGGACAGGAGGCTGGGATGCAGAGGTGAGGAAGGAGAGGCTACCAGAGGAGGGGTCGGGGAGGGAGGGAGAGAGCAGGGTCAGGGAGAGGAGCGATTGGAGACCAGCTGGGGAGCTCAGATGGAGCAGGTCAAGAGGTGGAACAATGGCAGAGTGAGAATAGAAGGGGCAGTGTCTGGAGAGGCGGACATGAGAAAGGCTGGGGACAAAGAGGGTGGCAGCTCTGGTGCAGGGTCCAGAGCCACGAGCCAGGTGAAGAGTGGCTGCACTCGTCTGTTCTCACCCCCACCTCCAGGCCTGGAGGGGCCTCCCACCCCCAGCCCATTGGCAGGGGGCTCATGCCGACGCCCCATTTTCTGTCTTCTGCCGCTTGGGATCCGCTTCATCCTGTGGAAGGAGAGCTGGGGTTAGCTGCAAAATGGGAGAGGGACCTCCCCCTGTCCCTGCCCTGCTCCAGCCCCCACCCGTGCACCACAGGGATCCAGGTCCAAGTCCAAAGGACTCCCAGCCCCTGCTGCATCCCTGACAGCCCCTCAGGCCCCACAACCCAGCCCAAACCTCCTCTTCAGCAGCTCTCTTCAGCGCGGGCCCTTCGTCCTCATCTTCTTCTTCTTCCTCATCTGAGGAGCCAGAAACGGGTCATTGGGGAAGGGCAGGAAGCTCTGGCACAGACCCCCTGTGGTCGCCCTCAGCCCTGCTTCAGGTCTTCAAACCCACCCTGACTCTGTTCCTTTGAGCCCAGCCTCCCCTGCGCCTCCCCACCTTCTTCTTCCCCTTCATCCTCCTCCTCTCCGTCCTCAGCAGTTTCTTCTTCTTCCTCCTCAGCTCCGTTCTCTTCCTCCTGTGGGGACCGGGGGTGAGGGGGTGAGGGGCGAGGGAGCGGCGTCAGACTGGTCGCGTGCCTCCACCACCACCAATGGCAGGGGTGCAGGGGCGTCGGGACCGAAGGGTGGGAGGGGCCAGAAGGGTGGGAGGGGCCAGAGCGGAGGCAGGACCCAGCGCCCCCACCCCCAGGTAAGTGGAGGGGAACTCCGAGTATCCTCCACCTGACCCCTCCGCACCTCCACCACTTCTTTCTTTCGCTCTTTTCGGCTGGCCTTCTCCTCCACCTTCTCTTTCTTCTCCTTCAGGTCCTACAAGAGAGAAAGAGGTCACCTTCCTGTCACCACAAATGAGCCGCAGCCGGTCCCTCTCGCCCCGTTCTCCCTCTGCAGTGATCTTAAGAGGACCGTGAGAAGGAAGGAGTTGGCTACAGCAGCTCAGAGGCAGAAGAGAGGTCCCAGGGTCCACAAGGCCACAAGGGGGCTGGGACCAGACACCATCCCCAAGACTCAAGGGAGGAGGGAAAGTGATGAACACAGAGGAATGGCCGGCCAACGTCACTGCTCATCACTCCCATCAAGTTCTCCAAAACCTCACGGGCTGAAGAGTTCAGCTCAGCAAAGCAAATCCCCTCCATCTGCTCACAGCCCCATGCCCCACCCCCTCTTGAGGTCCCTCCGCCTTCCTGGCCTGCCCCCTCCCGCTGCCTGCCCTGCTCTGCCTTTTGTCTACCTCTGGGGCCTTTTCCTGAGTACTCTCTCTCCTGGGCATCTCTCCCAGCTTCCCCCTCAGCCTCCTCGAATGCCTTTGTTTCTCTGTCCGTGTGTCCCCCTACTCCTCAGGCTCCTACGTGGCCAAACACGACGGGAACAGGGGAGCACCCTAGCATGATGCACACCTACTCCAAACCAGTTCGAGTAGTTTCTTCCTCCCTACACCCGGCGGGTGGTGTGGTGTGCCCGTGGTGTGTGCACTGGCATGGTAGAAGGGTAGAAGTAACCACTTCCAGGGGGAATGGCAGTACAGGAGGATAAAGGCAACATGGAAGGGAGAGGGTACTGGCCATGGTAGATGAAGACAAACAAGGTCTGCGTCCGGGCTGGGATGAGATGAGATGGTAGATGGAGAAGGTACCTGTCTGGAGTACCCTCCCTCCTTCACCCCAGGAGCCCAGCGGGCACACCTTTAATGTCCCATTCTGCTATAGCAGACGGGGATGCTCCTGGGTCCCTTCTCTCTGGACACCACACGGGCTCTTCCAGTTTAGATTCCAGTCCTCTTCCCAACCCCCTCCCCAAGCGCCCATGGCAGGCGCCGATCAACTGTGGATGTCCCTGTGTGATCTGATCTGGTGTTGGTGACAACTCTGCGTATCTGATTCCATGTGGATGGAAGTTTTTTCTTTTTTTTTTTTAAAGATTTTATTTGAGAGAGAGAGAATGAGAGAGAGTGAGCACATGAGAGGGGGGAGGGTCAGAGGGAGAAGCAGACTCCCTGCCGAGCAGGGAGCCCGATGTGGGACTCGATCCAGGGACTCCAGGATCATGACCTGAGCCGAAGGCAGTCGCTTAACCAACTGAGCCACCCAGGCGCCCTGGATGGAAGTTTTCTGTGTGAGTAGATCACCCTGGAGGGTGTGTCCTTTCTGGACCAGGATCAGGGACAGCAGTAGGGGTTGGTGCAGAATGGTTGACCTGGAAGGACACCCAATTCCCTTCTCCCTTTAAGGGGAACACAGGACACAGGCCTCTCTCACTCTAGCTCCGTTTCTTCCTGCCACTTCCCTGTCCTCATTTCTTGGCCACATGGTCCATAGGGCATTCCTACCACCTGGTAGGCTTTCCCCTGCATGCCAGGCCTGGAGAGCCAGGAGCTGGTCGGCTTCTCTCTGGGGGCCCCAGCACCAGGTCTGTGCTGCCCTGGCCTGAGTTTCCCATCCAGGCTGACAGAGGGAGGGAGGGAGAATTCTAGAGCAGGGAGGGAGGGAGCCTACCAGAGACCAAAGTCCAAGGGGCCGGGCCCTCTCCTCCCCTGTCCCGTCCTTCTGGTCACTGTCCTTCCATGATCCCTTTTCCAGGAGGGTATGTGAGCAAGGTCTTGTGCTAAGCAGCTCTCTGGCCTCATTTACTCAACACAGGCCCACACGCTGACACAGGCTGACACCGATTCACACGCCCGGCAACAGAGAAGCGCCCCCGAGATCCGGAGACACATGGCCCGGTGTTTGGGCATTCTGGCACACACTCTCGAGACCGCACAAGAGGGCAGTGGAGCCTCTCGGCACTCACAAAGCAGCAACATGGCTCCAGAACATCCCCGTCTCCACATGCACACATGTAACTGACACGGGCAGTCCCACACACTCGCTGGATTTCAGACATACAAAGACACCTACTCAGCGAAGTCACATGCCACCACACAGCCCACCGGAGGGCCCCACGGCACACCTTATCGGCTCTCACACATAGCCCCTCTCTGCCACTGCCTTTAATCCCGTTGGTGGCCCCCTTTCACTTCGGGGGGCCTCTAGGAGACCTCTGTGACCTCCTCAACAACCAACCCCACCCCCCACCAAAGTCGGGCTCCCAGCCCCCAAACGCTGGCCGAATTAATTTCCCAAAGCGATACTCAGCAGGTTCCCTAAGGAAATTAGAGGAAGGCTGGAAGAGAAGCAAGGGCAAAGGGATGGGGCCAGGGAAGGGAGCCGATGAGAGCAAGGACGGCTCGATGCAATGCCATGCAACGCTGAGCTTCAGCTTTCTCGAAAGCGATTCTCGCCCCCTTCATGATTTTTAGGAATCCAAGACTCTTTAAGTGTGTGTAGGGGGTGAGGGGGAGAGGCTGGAGGAGGCTATGGAGAGAAAAGAGAGCTGAAGGCCAATGGGGGAAGAAATGGATACAGACGGAAGGAAAGGAGAGAAGGAGAAAACAGACGGAGGCAGTAGCCGTCCGAGAGGTTGGGCCTCGAGGGGAGGGGCCCGAGAGCAGAGCAGCCTCCCGGGAGAGTCCTGTTTACTCTGGAGGATGTCAAACCGCTTAGCAGAGGAAAGGTGAGGTCAGACTGGAAGGAGAGACGGGGAAACGGGGCGCGGAGAGAGGGAGCGGGGGAGGGGCACGGTAAAGTGAGCCGCGGCGCGCTCCGACGGGAAGCGGACGGGGTAGAGGCGCGCGAGCCGGAGCCGGGGAGGGGTGGGGACGGCGGCGGGGGCCGGGCGCGGGCAGAGCGGCGAGGCCGGAGCCGCGGCGCGCCGCGCTCAGGAAGCTAGAGGGCGCTGGCGGGAGCCGCGCGAAGCGGGGTAGGCAGCGCCGGGCAGGGGAGGGAGGGGGTGGGGAGGGCGGAGTGGGGTCCGCCGGGACCCGGCGCCGGGGCAGCGTGGGGCCGTCGGGGGCGGCGTGGGGCGCCAGACGGTGCGGAGCCCGGGGGTCGCGCCGGGTTCGGGCCGCCGCCGTCCCCGCCCGTACCTTGGCGCTCAACTCGGCCGCTGCCTCCACGCTCTTCTCCGACATGGTGCCGGGGCCGGGGCCGGGGCTGGCGGGGAGCCGGGGTCCCGGGGCCGGGACGGAGGGGCCCTGGACGGCGGAGGGTGGCCGCGGCCGGAACCTGGCGCGGTGGCGGCGGCGGCGGCGACAGCGGCAGCGGCGGCCGCTCAGCAAGCTGGGTCTCTGGAAGAGGCGGCAGAGGCGCGCGGGGTGGGGCGGGGGTGGGTCTGGAGCGGAGACCCGCAGGGCTGCGGCCGTCCGGAGGGCGGGCGGAAGGGCGGTGCGGGCGGTGGCCGGCGCGCTCCGGCCGCGGTCGCTCGGTCCTCGGCTTGCCGCCCCCGCACCAGCAGAGCTGCCGCCGACCAGCCGCTGCCGCCCCCGGGCAGGGAACCCGCTTATAAAGGCGGCGCTGCCCGACGGGAGGGGCTTCCCAGGGGTGGGGCTGGCGGGAGCGGGGAGGAGAGGAGAGGGGAGGGGGATGAAAGCGGAGGTTGGCGAGGTGGGGATAGGAGGATGAAAGCGAGGGGAGGGAGCGCGCGAGAGGCGGGAGGGAGGACAGGACCAGGAGGGGGAAATGGAGAGACTGACGGTCGCGGAGAAGGGAGTGGGGCGAGGAGGTGGGAAGGGGTGGGGTTCCTGCGGGGAGGGACCTCTCCGAATCCCGACCTACTATCTGCGAAAGTGGAGTCTGTCTTTTGGGGGCGGACTGGAGGGCTGGCCAGAATCCTACTGACCCTCCCCACCCCCACCCCCAAGAAACCCTGAGATTTTGCCAAGGGATGGGGTGGGAAAAGCAGATGGAGAGGCCGGGCAGGTATTTGAGAAACCAAAAGCTTAAAGAAGAGGAAGAGGGTGGCGGGGATACTTCCACATCACGCTGGCTTTCCCCTCTCGTCTTGCATCTCGTTTCTCTGGGTGGCCTTAAGAGGGGATGGGAGGGCCAAAAGGGCAACCCACCCTCTGTCCTGCCCGAGGCTGACTTTTGTGAACCCGCCTGGGTTCCTCCCTTCCTGGATCTTTCTGGAGATCTAGAGGAGTCAGAGGCCCTCCAGGCTCCTTCATTCTCTTCCATCTTGGACCGCTCTTATTCGCCCATCTCATCTCACTCGTCTTTGCCTGGTCTTTTTCTCTTCATCCCTGCTCATTCATCTGTACCCAGACCCCTCCCTCACAACCACTTATCCTTCACGTCTCTCATTCTTCTGTTGCCTCTTCTCCACTTCTCATTCCCCTCTTCAACCCTCCCATCTCTGATCTCCTTCCCCCCTGTCCGGGACCACACTGTTCCTGTATCATTTGAGTCTGACACCTGGCCCTATACCCTTCGAAGATTTCCCCCTATTCTTCTCTTCAGGTCCTGATTGATCTTCTACGTTTTCCCTCTCTTTGCTTTTCTCTTTCCTCTGCTGCCATCTTCCCCAGCCTTTCTGGATTGTATTTGCCTCCTTTGCAAGGTCTGGAGTTCCCACCCCACCCCGTTCCACTCATCCTCAGTTCCTGGCCTGCAGTCTCAGTATCTTTGGATCATTTTGAGAAGCTTGGGGGTTTCAGGAGCTGGGTGTATTAATGGTCAGGAAGGTGGATGGAGTGGAAGGCTAGGGTTTGGAAAAAGATATCCTTGGTGTGTGTGCCCTCCCATATTTGTCTATCATTATCGTTATTTGTCTTATCATTTTCATTTTCTTAACAAGAAAGACACACTGATCAATCATCATCATTTGGTATCTGAGTGCTTAAATATGCCATCTTTTGGTCCTATGGTGTTCACACCTCCCAATTTCTCTTTCCCACTCTTCCTATCAGTTTCTCAGTCTGCATCTCTTCAAAAATCTTGGAGCCCCACCCAGGTTTTTCCTTGCCGGACTCTGATCATCTTTCTCTGAGATCTTTCCATCTCTATCTCAGTCTGTTTCTCTGACTCACTCAGGGATGTCTTTAGCGATCTCGGACCCTCTCCATCTCTGTACTCTCCTGCTTCATTTCTCTCCCTCTCCCCTCTCCTTTACCCCCCACCCAGTCTTCCTGTCTCGCTCCCTCCCGTCAGTCTCTTTCCTCTCCCTCCCACCCTCCTTTCCTCTTCCCCTTCTCCACCTCCGAGCCCCGCCTGCCGTCTCGGACACCCTGCTGGGCTCTTACCCTGTTGCCCTGGTAACCGCCCCCCACTCCGGTCACCTCCACTCCCCTCCCCCCCCAATCACCGCTACCAACAACCTCCATCCACCTTCCTCCTATTTTTCCTGAGAGCCAATAGAAACACTGTTGCCAGGTGGAATGCTCATTTGAATCAGCCAATCCAGGAGTCTAACTGCTTGCCCTGCCTTATATGGGGATTTGAGGAGGGCCACTCCCCCCACTCCAGCCCCACAGGGGACCAGCCCCTCCACTGTCCTTTCTCCCAGCCCTGGAGAGAGCCTGGGACCCTCCCTGTCACCCTCGTATAAGGGCCTGGCCTCCCATTTCTCAAACTGGGACCACCGGGGTTAGCGTGGGGAGTGGGCCGGACTGTGGGCTGGGCCTCTGGGCTGGGGGTGGGAATGAGGTGTGATTAGGAAGGGGAGGCGGAGGGAGCCGGGAATTTTGCCCAGGGAGGGGTGTCTGGGAGCGGAGGCAGCTGCAGTGGAAAATTCCAGGGAGATGGAGAGGCAGAGAATGGGAATCCTGCCCCAAGGCCCAAGGGAGTGCCTTGAGAATCTAAGAGTTTGGACACTAGGGTCCCGAGGGACCACAGGAAAAAGATCCAGGAAGCAGAAGGCCTGGATCTAATTCCCTTCCTGCACAGGGAGAAGCATCTCTTATCCTTTCCTGCCTGGTTGGACAACAGACCCGGCCTCCTGACGTCTGGGCTTCATGAGAAAGAAGCTAGAAGTGGAACTTGGGATGAATTTGGAGCGAGTGGGATGCTGAAAGCCTAACCCCATAGTCCTTAGGGTTATTGTCTGGGCCTCTGGGGCCAGTGGTGGTAAATGATGCCAGCTTGTGTGTGCTCCTTCCAGAGAACTACTTCTGGGACCTTGTAGAGGCTTTCCTATTCCTAGAGTTCCATTACTCCTCAGTCCAACTGAGAATTTCTCCCACTAGTTGAATGGGGAAACCTGGTGCTTCTTACACATTTTCTGGAGGTGGGAAGAAGGAAGCCAGTTGAGAACGAGGGAGGCATGAGCCCCCTGGAGACCATGACTGCTGGCCTGACATCCTAGAGATTTAACTCACTACTGTGTGAAAGGTGTTCAATCCTAGCTCTTGCCATCTCATTCTTAAGTGAATTCTTCCTTGTCTCCAGCTTCCTGAGTTTTTTCAGCTTGCCTGTTTTTCTGATAAGTTAAGTGCTGAGGAAGCCCTGGTGATCCTTGGAGGCACTGGACGACAGAAACCTGAAAGTTGAACCTCCCCACTCCTCACTGTACTTTTTTATCCCCATTCCACTTCCAGTATAACTCATTCTCTAGTCTTCATTTTTCATTTTCTTTTTTTTTTTTAATCTTTTCAAAATTCAGGTCAGTGGAGAGTTGAGAGGAGAGGGACTCCTAGAGAGAGACCTAAACCAGCCTAAATTTGATCATGTTTGCGTTTGTTGCCTGCAGGAGTGTTCCTTAAGAGAGCCTCTTCACCACACTCAGGCACATCCATCAGGAACACTACCCTGTCACATTGTATTAAGTAGAGGTAAACTTTTTTCATTCTCAGTTTTCTTTTTGCCCTCTGCACCAAGCTTGAACTCTTGCACTTCAACAAACTTAGGGAGCTCCTCCTCAGTGTCAGACACTGTGCTATATGATGGGGACACGAAGCTGAAAAAGAGATGGTCCCTACCCTCAAGGAATAGATGGAGAGAGCTCAAAGTACAGCCTGGAAAGGGACAGGCAGGGGTGCCTGGGTGGCTCAGGCAGTTAAGCATTGGCCTTCAGCTCAGGTCATGATCCCAGGGTCAGTGGGGAGCCTGCTTCTCCCTCTCCCTCATGCCACTCCCCCTGCTTGTGCTCTCTCCGCCCCCCACCCCTGCCTCAAAAAAATAAATAAATAACATCTTTAAAAATTAAAAAACAAACAAACAAACAAAAAACCTTTGAAAAGGGACATGCATCCAGCACTCTTTCCACCAGGCAAACAGCCCACTGTCTCCATGGGTACACTTTTCTAGAATGCCTCCCGGATCTCTCCTGATTTTACAAATCCTTATACATTGTTCCCAGCTCGGAACAGCCTCCCGTGGTTCCTCCACCCTTACTGATTGTCTCCTTCTCCTGTGCCTAATAAGTACCACGATGCTGGGCACCAAAGAGGAAGAGCTCAATAAATCATTGACTTCGTAGCCCTGACACACCATTTTGGCCTCATTCGCAGAGCCCTCTCAACATCCTCTCTTTGAGTAGCCCCCCTCTGACTTGGAATCTTGTAACTACTGATGTGGTGGCCACTGTCTTTTATGCTATCATCACAACCAAAAGTTACGTGGCTTTCCTACTTCCCTGGGAATCCTCTCCCCAGCAAAAAGAATTGGTTTTACCCTCCTACGTCTCCTCCAGATGTTCCGATTGGCTTTCTAATTCTCCACACCCTCTTCCTGACCTCCTTCATTTTTAGACCGAGCATAGTTGCCACTGCCCTCCTTTCAATTTCTCCTCCTTGCATACGCTTTTCAGCAAGCCTTCACGGGCCTTCAGAAAAGTCCGGAAGGAAGATCACAATCTATAGATGCTTTCTGGCTCTGCCCAATAAAATTTACTGTGACGATGGAAGTGTTCTATATCTGCACGTTCCAATACAGTGGCCACTAGCCACGTGTGGTTACTGAACCCTTGAAATGTGACTAGTGCAGCTAAGGAACTGCATTTCTTAATGTCATTTAATTTTAATTAAATTTAAATAGCCACCTGTGGCTAGTGGCTACCATATTGGACAGCAGCACCACTTTAGACCTCAGCCATAAACTGTCTCTTCTTTTTCCACCTTCTTGCCCTTCTCCATCCCCAGTGTTCTGTGGATAGAATGGCGAGAGCAGCTCTGGCTGCCGTGTTGAAGGTCATCTGGGCCGCTCTTGTCATATACTTTACTGTAGGTGCAAGTCTGTCCAGGGTTCCCACACTTTTAAGGGTTAAACAGACCAGGTGCCTGAGGCAGAGGACAGAGAATAGAAATGAAAAGTCTAGGGGAAATGTTATCTGGAGTGACAGTTAGGGACTCCTTTTGCCCAGAGGGTAAAAGACGGAGGGAGGACTCAGGAACCAGGAGGAGGCAATGACAGTGGTGCCTGAACACTTCCAGGTGACTCCAGTCTCAGGGGTCCTGTTCTTACCCTTCACAGTCTCCCTTTGCGATTCCACATGGACTTTCCTGGTTTTCGGTCCCATTGCCAGCAGAAACTTCTAACGCCAGGGACTCACGATCCTCCACCTCTAGCGCTGAGACTCCTTCCCTTCTGGTCATCAATCCCTCGATACTCTGGAGCTCCTCAAACCCCACATGATCCAACTGAGATTCTCTCACTTTCCAGTTCAGTTAAAGATACTATCCTCCACCCATTCATTCCTGCCAGGAGGGTCACCCAAGACCACCTTTTCTTTCCCTCCCCAGCTCCTTTGCATCTGACTTCCTAAAGATTCCTTGAGTGCCTCCCCTTCTCTCCAGACTCAGTCCTGTCTCTGTTCCAGGGGTCAACATCACGTGCTGACTTAATTCATTCGAGTTTCCAACCATGATTTAAGAATTTGTGTATCTTGGGCGCCTGGATGGCTCAGTTGGTTAAGTGACTGCCTTCAGCTCAGGTC